TAACCCCTTGGGTATAGTCATTTCTTTCTTCAGCTCTTTGTATTGCTTCCAGAACTCCCTGAAGGGCTAGTTTTGTGGACATGGATTCTTTCAGCCTATTTATGTCATGGAAGATTTTTCTTTCCCCTTCAACTATGATAGACATTTTGGTTGGGTAAAGTAATCTGGGTTGGCATCTGTGGTCATTTAGAGCTGGGAATACTTCGATCTAGGCTCTTCTAGCTTTCATAGTTTGCACTGAAAAGTCAGCTGTAATCCTGATGTGTTTTCACTCCTAAACAATATTTTGATAAACCTTTATGATTTTCTTTATGGGTATTTATAAATTCTGTCTTTTGTGTGTAAAATATCTGTTTTTTTTTAATTATTTAATTTCAGTTTGTCATATTTGCAATGCCAAAATGTAAGCATTGGAGTTTTGCCTTAATTCTCCGCATTCTCTCTTGATCACCCAACCCCATGGGTACCTGCAAGCACAAAATATTTTAAGTGTTATAATATGAGCAGAGTTTGAGTTTATTTTTATTTTTGAGTAGTTGGTATTCATGGAGTAAAATATATCAATCTGTGTAACTTTCCTTTTTGTAGGTCTGTGTGCCTTGCGAAGAGTCCTGAGGAAACAGCCTAACCTCCCTGATAGCAAGGTGGCTGGAATGGTGAAGATTACACTGAGTGATTTCTTACAGGGTATGAGTGAAATAAGGCCCAGTGCTATGAGAGAGGTAGCAGTTGATGTCCCAAATGTAAGTAATTTATACTTCATACTAACCTTATTGTTTGAATTAATTTCTGAAGGAAACTGAAACTCCAAGGTGACTAATTTCCTAGGCTAAGCATCTTAAAAAACATGCTTTTCACCAAAATTTTTATTGAGATAGTTATAGTTCAAGGACATTGTAAGCAGATCCAGTATATCCTTTGCCTCATTTTCTCCTGTTATAACATCTTACAAAACTGTTGCACAATACCACAAACGGAGTATTCATATTGTTAAAAATCTATTACTTGGGGCTGGAGAGATGGTTCCATGGTTAAGAGCACTGACTGCTCTTTCAGAGGACCAGGTTTGGGTCCCAGCACCCATATGGAAGCTAACAATTGTGCATACCTCTAGTTCCAGGGGATCAGTCATCCTCTTCTGTACTCTGTGGGTACTGCACAACACAGTGAATTTATATATGTACAGGCAAAATACTCATAAAATAAACTTAAAAAAAAAGATTGCTCTTAGACTTCCTAACTTTTCCTTGTACCCATTTGAGTGAGTGAGTGAGTGAGTGAGTGTGTATGTGTGTGTGTGTGTGTGTGTGTGTGTGTGTGTGTGTGTCTGCATGTGCGCACGTGCATATTTAGCCCTGTACAGTTTGTCAGGCGATTAAAGTTGGTATTTGTCACCACATCAAAGTAATGAACAGTTGTATCATCACAGAAATTCCTCACATTATGTCTTCATAACTACATCCCCTTCATTTTTATTCCTACTCCCATCTCTAAAATTTTATTGGTTTATAAATATTATTGTAATAGTGTCATGCAGTGTGCAACCTTTTGAAATTAGCTTTTCCTTTTAATGGAATTCCCTCAAAATTTGTCCAAAATGTTGTTATGTTTGATTTGTTCTAGTATTTGATAGTCAGCTTTATGTTACTAAATCAAAATTTCAAGGTAATCAACTTGAAGAATGGAATAATTTATTTTGGCTGTGTTTTGGAATGTTTTGTTTGGTTTTCTAAGACTGGATCTCATGTAGTCTAGGTTGGTGTTTCGCTCACTGTGCAGCAAGAAAGGCTGTGAACTCCCATTCCATCTTCTGCCTCCTGAGGACTTTTGGATCAGTGTTTGTGTGTGTTTGTGCATACATGTATGTGCATACATGGTGTGTTCGTGCATGTGGAGGCCAGAGGTTAATGTTATATGTTGTCCTTAGCTGCTTTCCACCTCATTTTTTGAGATGAAGTCTTTCATTGAACCTGAACATTTCAGCTAGACTGATTGATGAGCTGCAGGGGTCTGCCATTCCAGCACTGGGATTATAGACTTGCTCTGTTGTAACTAGCTGTTCACATGGATTGCTGTGGTTCTAAAACTATGGTCCTCGTGCTATTTTTTACCTACAGACCTGTCTCCCTAGCTCCTTGGATCAGTTTTATAGGTTTCAGACTATTACTGGTTTTCAGACCTATGATGAGGCAGTATGTCTTGATAGGAGTTCCTGACAGAGAAAGCTTTTCATGTAAGCTGGGAAGCGAAAGTGAGAAAGAAGGAACCAGCATCCACGTTTAAAGGCATATGTGACATAAAATCTGTGACATAAAATCTCTCACTAAGCTCTGTCACTTATGTTTCTACTCCCTCCCTAGGGTGCTAAGCTGGGCAGGAACTCTTTATTCTTGGGCTTTTGGAGAATGTTTTAAGATCCAAACTGTAGCCATAGTATTCCATAATAAATATATTTGTTGATAGTTGATAAGTGTCTTGCTGCTTCCAGTTCTTGGTTTTTATAAATGAAGCCAGTATGAACTGTTATTGTATAAATGTAACTTTTCATTTCTCTACAGTGAATGATCAAGAGTGCAGTTGCTGGGTTATATATAAATTGTTTTTCACTAAGTTTAGATTTATTGGAAAGTATCATTGAGGCTATTTTTTAGAACAAATCTGCTAGTTATAAACTAATGCTCTGGAAGAGTAGTAATAATAAAACTATCAGTAGACCAGAACCCCTTGCTACTAGAATGTTTACTCTTTTGTGGTTTCTTCTTTTCTTTTGTCATCTTTGTGGTGGGAGTTTATATATATATATATATGTCTTTTTGAGACAGAGTCTCCCTATAGCCCCAGCTGCCCTGGAACTCACTGTGTAGACCAGGCTGGCCTTGAACTCACAGAGATCTATCTGCCTCTGCCTCCCAAGTGCTGGGATTAAAGGCGTGTGCCACTACGCCTGGCTGGGAGTGTATATTTTAATGTTAGCATCTTTTCATTTAAACTTCAAAAACTCCTATTAGCATTTCTTGTAAGGCACATTTAGTGATTTTTGTTTGTCTAAGAAAGTCTTTAATTTTCCTTCATTTTAAAGGCCTACCTTTCCCAATATGGCATTCTTGGTTGACAGTTTTTAAAATACATTTGTAATTGGAAAAAAAGCCTACTTAATATATGGTTTTGACAAGACTGCATTTCTACCTACAGAAGAATGAGATTAGATTTACAAGTTTTACCTTGTATAAAAATCAGTTTTAAATGGATCAAACATCTTAAATTAAAACCTGAAACTCTTAGATGAAAATATAGGGAATACTCTTCAGGACATTGGTGTAGGCAAGAACTTCTGAACAGAAAGAACATCAAGAGCACAAGGACGAACCCCAAGTATCAACAGATGGGACTATATGTAACTGAAAAGATTTTGTACAGCAAAGAAAACTACCAGCAGAGCATACAGACAACACAAAAAATGGGAGAAAGTTTTTACCAGCACTTATCAGACAAGGGCTAATATCAAGAATATACAAAAAACTGCAGAAATTAAATACCAAGGAAATAAAATTACATTCAACAAATAGGCTAACAAATTGAATAGTGTTCAGGAAAATAAATACAATGACTAGTTTAAAAAGTGTCATTAGGGAAATACCTAGTCATCGGGGAAATACAAATTAAAACTACCCCCTCAAAGCCTTGACAAGTGTGGGAAGGAGGTCTGGCTATAGCTTGCAGACATAGTGATTAGAGGACACATCAAGGTGACACTCCGCCCCTTCCTGCAGCTCTTACATTCTTTCTGACAACCTCTTCTGCAAAGTCCCTAAGCCTTGGAGGGAGTGACAGGTATGGGATGATCTCCCTCTCATTGTGGCAAGGAAAGGAACTTTCAGTTTTCTGCATCATGTTTTCCATGGGCTTTTGGCCCATTTCAGTGGGATTCCATTGATTACAAGGATTTAGGGCTAGGATCTTAGTTCTCTATCCTGTGAAAACTTAGATTAAAAATTGTTTCAATTATTTATTTATTTATTTATTCATTTATTTATTTAACAGCGCCTAGGGTAGGGGCTTATTTATTGAAGAGTGGGTACCTCACATTTATGGTTGTGCTCCCATTCAAATACAGATCCTGTGACTTTGACCTCCTGACAGCTGCATAAAATGGTGAGAGAGGTGCCCCTTGGTTTTCTCAGCTTATATATCCTTTGTCCCTAACCTCCACATGCAGCTAAGGTAGACTGAGCGGGAGGGGGTCATTGACTACCCCCTCAACTCCTTGATGAGCAATGGGAAAGAGGTGTGACTATAGCTTGCTGGCATAGTGATTGGAGGACATTGCCAGTTAACCCTCCACTCCTTCCTCTGACTCTTACATTCTTATCACCAACCTCTTCCTCAAAAGTCCCTGAGCCTTGGAGGGGGTGGTAGGTGTGGGATGATCTTCCTCCCATTGTGGCAAGGCCCTGAACTTTTGGTTGTCTCCATCATCTCTTTTCCATGGGCTGTTGGCCAGTTTGAATGAGATTTCATCTACTATAGAAACACACACAGGAAGAAGCAAGAACATCTAAACAATGACTGTTATAATAACCTAACCTATGGGTGTAAATGCAAATGCTTTGTCGGTATTTTAGCAGGTGCATCAATTCCATCTAACAAAGCAATTGCAGTGACTTCACACTGGGGCCTATATTCTCCCCTGCCACAAGGGGTTGGCCGGGTCTGTAGTACCAGATGTGTGTTCCACCCCTAGGAGTGGGCACTATATCCAATCAAAAATTTGCTTGTTGTACATACACTAGACACTCCAGTATTGTATCAGCAGGAACATTTTGTTTGGTATGTTGGTAGTGCAACATGTGGGGTCTGTTGTTGAGAATTTTAGGGGACTGTTCTCCACCAGTCATCTGCATGTTGCCTTTTGGCACCATGAAAGCCACCCATCCGGTGTCAGGGAGTTTCCAGTGTAGTCCAAGCTTGATTTCTCACTCTTCTGCACTCACATCATGCAGTGTCTTCAGCAATAGAGTTTTTCTGACCACTTTCTGTGTACAGCCAACATTATTAGCAATAGCCTTTATTGTTTTGGGGACCTCTGGTGTCCCTCAGGCCAACAGCTCATAGGGGGCAACCCACCTCTGACACTGGGCTTTTCATTTAACAACCATATACTTCTGGAAGGGCTTTTTCCATCCTTGTAGAGTTCCTTCTGTGTTTCCCCCCACTTTATTCCCATAGTTCTTTGTATAGTCCTCCTTCCCACTCTCCCCTTTAACTACCCCTCCTTTACATAGTTCTCCCTTAATAGCACCTTTATCCTACTAATCATCTCTCAGGTTCCTTCTTTTACTTTGCCTCCCTATTTTCCTTCCATATTCCTGGTCCCTGCAGTTGTATCAAGATATGCACTCAGAAGGAGTTGTAGCTAGGATCCACAGATGAGGGAGAACATACGTCTTCTGTTTTTCTGAGTCCATGTTACTTCACTTAGTATAACAGTTTCTAGATCATCCATTTTCCTGCAAATTTCATTATTTCATCTTCCTTTACTGCTGAATAGAACTCCATTGTGTAAATGTACCACATCTTTGTTAAACACTCATCATTTGAGGGGCACTTAGATTGCTTCTATCTCTTAGGTATTGTGAAAAGAGCAGCAAAAAAACATGATTGTACAAGTATCTCTGCAATAGAATGAGTCTTTTGGAGTGAGTGTAGCCAAGGAGTGGTGTAACCAGGTCATATGGTGTGTTAA